GGGTGGACTGGCTGTAAATTTCTGTTGATTTCTGGCTCATTTACATTACAAAAAGTTCCTTCTTAATTGAGAAACTATTAATTCAGCCTGCTCATTTTCTGTAAGTTAATTTTAGCATACCCACTTCAATTTAAATCAAGAATGCCATATCTTCTGGCTGCATCAATATTCTGATAATTCACCTGAAAAAACATTTCTCCAACCTCCAGATGGTTTATTGGCCCAGATAGATGGAGGATAACTCTGCCATCCTTGACTAGAGGAAAACCCTAAAAAAGAGAGAGCATTAATTAAACTGAACTTGTATGACACCTGCCATAGAGTTATTCTGATATTTCTCTAGCTACACCCCTCCCCATGTTATTTTGCCTGGTATGTTGCATGTAAAGAAAGAATCTTTTAGATTATATGATGATATGCGATGGTTTTCAAATAAACTCTTAAAGCAGGCAAAAAGGGTAGAGAGGTCTTTTCCCACCTAGTGCATTTGCCAATGTCCACCTTTTCGTATGAAACTGCACATCTCAGTTGAGGGAAAGTGAACCCATGGAAACTTGATTCTACAACTCAAACTGATGAGTTCCTTTACCTTACCAGTCCACAAAAGGCAAAATTAATACTCAATAAATCAAGTTGTTTAAGTCTAAGGAAGTGACTTCTTTATACCATTCACCCCAACATATGATATAAAGTGTCACTTCTTCTTGCAGTGCAAATATGTTATCTTGCAAATAGTTGATGAGAACATACAAGCTTATCAGTTAGAGGGTATTTTTTGATAAAGAACCAGATTCTCCTGTCTTATTTGAAAGGCTAATTTATGACTCTCTTGAGAGAATCACTCATAAGATTTTAGAAGCAACAGGGTAAAGCATTTGTGGCAGCTATCATGATTCACAAAATCAGTTCAATGCATACAATCTGGAAGATTATACAATATTCACCTCAGCTTTGAGTTTCTCCAGAAGTAATGTAGTTGGTCTGAGAAATTTTTCTGTAAAGCTCCTATGTGACCCATTAAACTTCTGATTTAATATCTCCCTCAAGCTTTGTTGAACCCTATTGCTACAAGGGTAACTGTTTCCATAGTGAACTGCAAGGGCACGTTGTGCAGTTATAAGAGTGTCCTGGAAATTAAGAATAATCATGCTTACTGGTAATTAAACACTTAAAACCTTATTCCCTCATTCAACAAGCAACACAGATCAGCTGTAAAATGAGGTATAATGTACCAAATCCTTACAATGAATTTTCACATGAATATACATCTCCAAAAGTAAAGGGAAGTCATATCAGACAAAAACAATTACTGAAATAAATTAATAATCATTAAGAAATGAGAAAAAACTGAATCAAATGAACAAAACTAAAGAATAATGAAAAGGGAGAGAAAAGGAATAAAAAATAGATCTATTTGCTGACTGATGGCTGAATGCACCAGATGAGTAAATGACTGAGTGGTTGATTAGTTTATTTATTGATTAAAAGAAACAGATTGGCAACCAGGATAATTAAAGTTCATAAGGCAACCAGGTGTACAATCAGACATGGTTTGATGCCACTCTGGTTTAAAGATTTAATGAATGTAACTGGGAAGTTACAATTCACAGACCCAATGTTTTGACACTCCTGTCTAGTGCCTACATAAGGGTGATCTAAATGCTGCAAAAAAGAGTTCCTTTTATACTTTTACTAATTATAGCTGCACTTTTTTCTGACGAGGCGTAAATAGAGGTAAATAGATTGGCAACCATTACCATTACATTTTTGGCTTGAATGAACCCAGTCTCTTTAGATGGTCTTAAATCTGCTGATCAATAGATTTCTCTATTACAATGCAATATTGAGACAAATCTTAACACTCATGGCTCAATCGTTTTGATTCAATTAGAAAGCTAGATTACTACTTGTTTTCTCCAGCACATTCATCATGCTATTTTTCTTGGTTATTCATCTATCAAATGTATCCATTTTGACCTTGAATGACTTATTGTGGTTTCGAACCATCAGTCCATATTGATTTCTTTCACTTTCGAAAATTTCTGTACAGTTTCTCTTAAATCTCCATATCAAATTCACTCATATCCAGTACTGATTATAACCAATGATGACCACAAACCATACACTTAACCTTATAACTTCCACAAGTGATTAATATGTAAGGTATCCTCGTAATGTCCCCACATTATCCAGCTAACGGGTAATCAAGTACTCAAAGTGATCAGATGTAAGTCGTTATCTCGATACAACGCTAAAATTTTGTTACTTATTGAAAAGGAAATGTGTAGCAGCTGGAGGGTAAATTGGAAATTTAATAACCAGATCTTGGAAGTGAAAGGGTTGACAGACCTACACCAGTAGATTTCGAAATCAACAGCGAACAAAATTAATATTTGCATACAAATTTCATACTTCCGGTTTACCTAAGTCCATCAAATAATTCTGTTTTGCTTTCAAGGAAGTGTTCAAATCCCTTTTTTAGATTAAGTGAGGTAGCATATAAAGGGATTCAAACTTATGCTTTTCCTCAGACGATCATAGGTTACTTATTTCATGAAATCCATGAACTGTGAACATGCATAAATAAAATTTCACGGCAAACTGTTTCGAAGGCCCCTATATCAACATCTACAAACACTGGCTGTATGAATGAGCGTAAGGATTTACTCGATCATACCTGTGTATGACCGAGGAGAGCCTGTCTTTTTGTACCACCATATGATTACGATGAAAGAAACAGAAACGCTTACGATCGCAAGATTGTTCACTTTGAAGAAACTGCTGCATATCAAGTAAAATTGAATGTGTACTGTTTGCTGAGGCAGTTCAGAAGTCTTTTTTGCTCGACATTGATTTCAACATTCATTTATAAATTAATAATAAAGTATTTTCCTCACCTCTACAGTATGCGAAGTGGAAGCCATTGTAAACACTCCTGTTTTCAGTTTCCGCGAAAAACCGGATGACGTAATTCTAAACCTAAAATTAGGAATTGGATCGGACTGGCCCATATCTTTCCAGAATGGACTGGGTTAACGTCAGCGGTGAATGATATTCTATGTTTTCGTGCCAATTTTTAAAATCTCTCTTTTTCAGGTTTTATTCTCTCTTATACCATATTTATAGTGAAACCCAAGAGCTACTTTTGGTCCAATTTCGCGGTCCTAACACATAACCCATTGTTTAGAAACTATAGGAGGGTTTACCATGCATAAGAATTCTGGTGCGAATTAATTATTTGTCTTCAGTTCATGTAAATGAGATAAGCATTGGTCAAACGAAACTCTGCCCTACAAACGAACACTCCTACACGGTGGAAGGATAAATTTACCAATAGTACAATTGAAATGGTACAACAACAAGCCGTGGAAAGAGCAAGTATCCGTTTCCTTCTTAATAGCACTTTTTAAAATATTAAAATATCGAACAGTCTGAGTTTTCTATACCAAAGAAAGCACCCTTTGCCCGTTTCTGCTTAACCCTT